GCAATTCGAAGAGCTGGTTTTCGTAGCCTATGTTAGGCCTGTCACTAAGCCTACGGAAGAGAAACCCCTTGATCCGGCTATTGCTAAGCTGCTGGAGGAGTATACAGATTTAGCTAAGCCGCCTACATGAGTAGTGCATCGGCCCATCCAGCATCGCATTGAGATAGAGCCTGGCAGTAGGACTCCTAAAGGAGCCATCTACAGAATGTCCCCAAGGGAGTTAGAGGAGATGCGCAAGCAGTTAAACGAACTCCTCGAGAAGGGTTGGATTAGGCCCAGTTCATCTCCATTTGGAGCACCTGTTCGTTTTGTTCCCAAGAAGGAGGGAGAGCTTAGAATGTGTATAGACTATAGGGGTCTCAATGCCGTCACCAGAAGGGGAGGCGGGTACAATCATAACGGGCGGTCAATTTCCAAGGGGGAACTCCCTGAGGCGAGGCTGGAGCAATTTTCGAAGTTGGGAGGCTATTTCCTGAAATATTTTTCTCGCCGTTCGCACCAGGAAAAAAAGTTGTGCCTAAGAAAAATACAGCTCCGCCGGTCTGCATATTTGCTGGGAAGAAGGGAAGTGAAACGGTTTTCACCTTTTTGCAGTCACAGATGCGGATCGCAGGGCTCGATCCCCAGACCTTACCTTACCTTACCTGTACAGTATCAAGTCAACCCTGCGTGTCTTGAACCCGTGACCTGGGTGTTAGTAGTTGAAAGTTGTCTGTCGTAGGTTTGAGTAGTTGTCGGGTCTTGAACCTTAGACCTGTCGAAGTAGGGGTCATACCTGCATAGGGGTCATAATTGTTGTAGTCCTGAAAGGTCAAGGTCGTAGCTGCTACAGTCCTGAAAGGTCAAGGTCGTAGCTGCTACAGTCTTGAAAGGCCAAGTCCGCAAACTTCGGTCCGGAAGTGGCCTTTCAAGTTTCTTCTCACGTTATACACAGCAGACCAGAGGCAAGTGGGCAAGTGGTGAGTCCAACTTCGCTTAGTCAGCGGTCCCCAGTCCCAGTCTCACTTTGTACAGTAAGCAAGTACCATGAGGGAATGTGTGCACCATGGGCCCGGTGGAAAGGGCAGACCAGCGACTTACAGAAGTATAAATCAAGAGTCAGCGTCCAACCATTCATTCATTTTTGCATGAGCCATGCGGAAGCGCTGCCCAGGCGTCTTGTGCGAGGTGGTCTGCGGAAGCCCGAGGTTGAAGTGGGCTGAAGAAGAGAGATAGTTCGTCCATAGCCAGTAGCAGTAGAGCGGCCATAGCCGCTGTAGCTTAGAGATAGAGTTCAGTGTGTGTGTGTGTTCTTCGTACAGAGTTGTGAGCGTGGGATATCCAGGGTGATCCAGAGACAAGTGTGTGCGAACAGTGTGTGGACAAAGGATGTATGAGCGCTCAGGCGCCATAGCCAGTTGGAAGCGAGTTGTAACTAAGCTGTGTTTTTGACTTGAGTATCTCTGAGCTTTGTGTGGGCATAGCGTGGATTGCCACCTGTTTGCATGTATATGGAGTGAAGAAGAAAGCGAGTCTGAATGCAGAAGGGGGGGAAGGGGGGGAAGGGGGGGGAAGGTGGATATTACGTACTGTTACCCGGCAGAATTGCTTACCCGCCCATACCCATCTGATTTTTTTTTTCCACCACCCTATAATGGCTGTACCCATGCTTTTTTTTTCCTTGCCCGGCCATACCTGCGGTTTTTCCCTTTTCACTGCCAGTACCCGCCCATGCCTGCCCGTGATCTCCACACAGTGCAACCATGCCTGCCCTGAAATCCACAAATAAAATTTATGCCTGCCCATACCGATGCCCCCCTCCGGAAGGGTACCCGTACCTGCCCATAACCTGCCGGTTACAGTTGGTTACGGTCTGGTACGGGCAACGGTTACCCAGTTGCCACCTCTGCCCAGGACCCTTCAGAACGCAGAGGAGCCAGGACTAGGTCCTGGTCTCTTTGTCAAAAATTTGCTCAGAGTTCGCACACGCACGGGAGCCGTGAGCTCCAAATCACAAACGGGACTATGCATGCGGCAGTGCACAAAACGGGATGACTTCCTGGGCAGCATTCATCTTCTGGGAAGGGCGCACAACGAGAGCCAATCAAGGCACAGCCGCGCGCATCAATCGAAAAAGGGGATAACAACCATCCAATCAACGCATGGCGACTGATTTGAGCCAGATTTGTCCAAGATTCTCTATAAAAAAAAAAGAAGTGGGTGTAGGCATGCTAGCACACGCAAAAGTTTAACTGAAAGGAAGAGGAACGAGATAAAGAGAGAGGAGGGGCAATGAGAGGAGCTGTCCACGAGGCAAGAGAAAGGAGCTAGGATGAAAGAGATGAATTGTGGAATATTTCAGCTCTCAAAAAAAGATTTTAATTTGAGTTCCTGGACGCGCTTACAGAAATTCCGAAAGTTCCATTTGTAAAAACCGAAATTGCGAAAATGCCCCTCATGGGTACAACACTGGATTACGGTTTTTTTCTTTCCATGAAAATTTGACTACACCTTCAAGGAATAATCTGTTTGAAGAAAACACGCTCTCATCAGGACCCTGGGAGGCTGGCACTATCTAATCAGATGAAGAGAAACGACCCGGTTGTGGAAACAGTTTTGAATGTGAACCATGACTCAAAGCGGGGATTTTAGCAGCTTGAGCAATGTACGCTGCCGTTGAGTCAACTTGAGTGGATTCTGACAGTGCCATTATTAAGCGGAATGGAGGACGCTATGCTGGTAAAATGTGGACCTGGATAATGTTTTGTCAATGCTACGTACATAATGTTCTCAAATGGACCCAACGAGCTCTATTTGAACCCCTAACCATTATTTGAACCCCTAACCATTATTTGCTGATTTGAACCCCTAACCATGGGCATATAGACCTGACCATATACTCCATGGGCAGGGAAAAGATGCGAAGTATCAAACCAAGTTGCCGATGGTTAGGGCCCTTAGGGGTTCAAATCAGCAAACCATGCCCAGTGAACTCCAGATTCTGAGCCTCAACAAGCTCTACTTCATTGAGGGAGTGTCTTGAGTTCCGTATATCTTACTAAATGAGTCCTGACTCCTGATATGTGATAAATCAGCAACCGAGTCGTGCAAACTCGGAGATTTAAACTCACGGAATTTTGTACAGTACACCCGGATACTTGAAACCCCAGCGGACCCTACGGATTGGAGAACAAGCGTAGGAGATACTAGCAGGCCCAACAGCTACATAGAACCAGACTAGCGGAGCGGAAACATGCTCAGAACAGCCAAGAAGAGACTCCGCAAACTTAAAAGCAGGCTCAGGGTGGAGTTAAGTACGGGTTCAGAGGGCTGCACAGAACAAGCAGACTCAGTTCAGCAAGTCAAACAGATTGACCAGACTCAAGGCCGCAGGGATGCAGACTCAGCAGGCTTCAATCTGCCAGTCTCCTCAAGACTCTAGGACAGGAAGAGACAGGCACAGTTCACCAGCAGAAGGACACTGGATATCAAGACACAGACAATAATTGCAGGATCATGAACTTGGGCTCAGCAAGACTGGCATGAGCGCTGTTCATCCCAATTTGACTTACCTTTCATGGGTCCAGACGTGAACACTCTGATAGACTCTGTTGTAGCCTCAAGCTCAACAATGGGAAAATTCAGAAAAGTTGAGAAAACGTTTTTTTTCAATAATTGTCCGAGCCTCAGAATAACAGTAACGACCAGAGTTTTGCAGACTCTGCGGCGGATCCCAAACATTGAAAACAGCAGCTGTAGTAGATTTCACAGACGAAAAAGAGCAGCTGTAGTTAATTTCAGACACCGGAAACAGCAATTCCAGCAAAAGCCACAGACAACAGAAAAATACCGTGGTTTCGTAGAATCTAAAAAACGGTTAAGTATAGCAGTTTCACGCGGTCTTAACAGCGGAGAAAAAACTGTGGCAGTAACTATACTGCAGATTCACCGCTGACGAGGGGATTAAACGGTGTCTCCTGATTCATGGGATGGACCTACCATGCTTGATTTAGAATCTGGCTCGTTGGCCTAGATGGATCGCTGAGTATATCCAAGACTCAGACAGTTCTAGTACAGTGCCCTGGATCCTATGGGGTAGATACAGGCAACACCGAATGGGTCAGAGGGTTACGTCTACAACATCAACAAGAAATGTCGCAGCCAGACTGAAAACCCAGAGACGTCGATTTCTGCTCAGACACCACCGGACTTGGACGTGAACGAGTTGACCATTATAGACCAAATGTTTCTCAATCACTGTCAGGATTAGAGCATGTGAGGTTCTCTGTCCGTTTGAGTGTTTGTGGTCGGATACTGACTTGTTGTTTGCAGGTTGCAGGAGCCGTGGAACAGCTCTCCCGTGGCTGACGGACACGGAGCGGAATACAGGGCCATTCTGGTGTGCCTGGCGGCAGAAGCACTTAATGCCGTCAAGGACAGACGCTTCAGGTTCACCAGCAGAGATAGGTGGCTTGTCCCCCCTGGCTGGCCTCTGTGCCCCCTGGCTAGCCTCTGGAAGTAGCTGTCAGCTTTCCAGCCAGCGCGAGGTGTTACGAGCCACATGTGTAAGTTACAAACGGGAGTCAGGTGAGTTTGGCGACGAGTCACTGCAGCGCCTAAACCAGGCGACTCTGGCAATAGATCAGACACAAAGCGTCTGCTCTGGCGAGCGGAGTGAGTGCCAGGATAGAATAAAAAAGTGAACCACGAATCTCAGTTCCCCCGTCTAGACCCAAGCAAGTGCACATACAGCCCAAGGCCAAGGGCACAATTCTTTGACATAGCTCCCTGTACAGAGCAGAGTTATAGGGAGGCTGGACACATTCCAAGATAAAAAGGCTCTGGAGGCTGGGAATCCAACCCATAACCCGTAGTAACCCCTGCTGGGCGGTCCGTATATATAAAAAAAATACATAATTGTCCCGGACATGAAGAGAAGTCAGCTACCTGTTTTTTTTTTTTTTTTTTTTTTTTTTTTTTTTAAAGATTGACAAACTAGGCAAGAAAGATAAAGGACGTACCTCATTTGCGAGGGCAGCATCGATCACCGCATTTGCTCCCTCTGCTGGAGATTTAAGCAACCCGAGCGCAGCAAGAACAAGCATCCCAAACTTGCGTAATCCGACAGGGACTTCTCTGAGCAGATTGGTGTCGACAGCGCCTGGATCTGCGGCACTGATTACAAACCGCACAGTGCAGAATCAGTCGCAGTCGCAGAGAAATTTAGTGTATAGTTGCAGTGTCTTACCTGTTCAGCAAAGAAGCTCTACAGAGGAGTCATTCACACACATAGAGAACTTTAGGACTTCAGACAGAGAGGAGGAGGGGGGAGGGGGAAGGACTTCAGACAGAGAGCCCGAGAGAGGGGAAAAAACAGAAAGAACTAAAAAGAAAAATTCGGAGGGAGTTCTTCGGAACATCACTGCCGTTAAGATTGGGACGATACACAGAAGATTGGCATGGCCCCTGCACAAAGGATGACGTGCATGACTTGAGAAATGCTCAAAATTCAAAAAAAATAAAAAGAGGGATATAGTACCGATTTACTGATAATAAAGGACAGATCGTGTATAAATGCTACACATTATGTCACAGATGTAACTGTTGCTGACACAGCAAGAGTTCGCGATAACCTCAAGGATGCTCCACTTCACCCGCTCAATAATAACAATGAAAAAAAGTTAAAGAAACACAAGATGTGGCCAGCGCGGCTTCGCCCGCGTGTTTTAGTTGTACTGAATATTGTTGTCGGTTGCATTGACATTTGAAGACAGGACAATGAATAGTTAATGGAGAAAGGCGAAGCAGGAAAGATACAAGCGAAAGGTTCCACAGCGTGGCATGAACATCATGGGTGACGAGAAGTGGTAGGTCCACATGGCAGTGGAGAGCACATTTCCGTGGCAATAAAGTCTAAGAATTATGCAGTAGGATTACCATAGTCATCGAAGAATGGATTGAGTTCTTTCAGTGCGTTCATACTACATAGTGCATTCACATTAACGTATATATGAGAAATGGGAACGAGCAGAGGTGTCACATTTCGTCCATTCAAATTCACCAATGATAAGTAAATGAGTCAAGACAATCTGTGTCCACCGGCAAGTTGGAATAGGAAGCAGAGGGAAACAACTCGAGATAGGACGATGACAGAGGTGAAGGACATCCAAAAGGACAACTTCACATGCTCAGAATTGACATAAAATAAAAAATGAGCAGGTGTTCTGTCCACCCTATCATAGTCTGCACACGTCTGAACAACTCTGATCGTCTACCTCTGTGATGCACTGATGTCCCATTCATTCAACCCGTAGGTTGGATGTGCATGTTGCCTTGTGCATGCTCTTTCGTACTATATAGGTAGCCAGCTCTTAGAACGTGTACAGTTCACTATGCCTGCATCATTGCAGGTGTTGCGCAGATTGTCGGTGAACCCAACCAAATGCAGCCAAGCTTGGCATGCACCCAAACTCGAATGCGGGCAGTTGTACGCACAGAATGTATTCATAATATGATGGACATTGACGACAATGTCACGGAAATGCTTTGACAACTGAGGAACCGCGCAGTTTCTCATGGAGTGCAATGTAGGACGCTGCAGCGCTCTTGTAATCGATAGTAGTCGACTGTAGGATGCTGAGATAGGACGCCAAGGCCATTAACGGCTTGGCGATAGTAGTCGACGTAGAGCATGGCTTCGAGTGCAGTCCATTCGGATGACAGGTCGTGACTTCGTCATGGCCTTGGCGATAGTAGTCGACGTAGAGCATGGCTTCGAGTGCAGTCCATTTGTTGCTGTTCTGATTCTTTGGGTTAAGGTTAAGGGTATAGATAAAAAAGGATGCTCAATAACTCAATAACGTACCTAGATTTGAACGATTTCCGCCAAAACATCCAACCGATGAAGGCACAATTCCGATGCCGTAAGCCATGCTCTTCTATGCCAAGGCCATTAACGTCGTCCGATTGTCCATTTCCATACCCACATATCGCTGCGCTCACTCACAATAATCTGACATGAACAACAATGATTTGATCGTGCAAAAATCTTGGAAAATATAAAATATTTCAACAATTCAGTTGAGCACGGACCCGTCAGGCGAATCCTCTGCCGGAAAAACCAGCAAAAGATTGTCGGCAGCCCACCCGCCTACTCCTCACAGCACATATTCTCCAATCCGATCACGGTTCCCACATTTCCCCACAATGCGACCACGCTTTCCCCATTTCCGACCCCACAATGCGCTCATTTACCTCGCGCATCTCCGACCCCACAATTCGATCATGCTTCCGCTATTTCCCCCTGGACATGAGTAGCGCAGATGCTCCCCTCTTCAACTATCGCCGCAGCTATACCAACGGCGGCACCCCATTCCCCTATCCCCTAATAAACGCTCGATGCAAAAAATACCAGATCCGGATACCTTCCCCACGTCAATGAGGGAAATCGGTCATGGTCATGCTACTCGTCGGATTGTCTCATGGAATTGCATATTGCTTATTTATTCATTTATTCGTCCCGTCGCGCAGACTGCATGCCCACCTCCCTGAATCTGCGCTGATTCCCGAAATGCACGATTCCCTGACAGTGTCACGCTCGGATAGATTTCACAATACGTATACGTAATGAGTATACGTAATGACTATGCTTCTCTCCCGTTACGTAGCATTCCCATCACTGCACGACTGTCCTCAAGGCCAGTTCCGTGAATCGTTTATCGTACCATTCCCATCCCGTTTCCCCCATTTCCCCACAATGCGATCACACTTCCCCCATTTCCGACCCCACAATGCCCTCATTTTCCTCGCGCATCTCCGACCCCAGAATGTGATCACGCTTCCCCCATTTCCCCCTCGACACGAGTAGCGCAGATGCTCCCCTCTTCGACTATCGCCGCAGCGATACCAWCGGCRGCACCCCATTCCTCTAYCCGCTAATAAAYGCTGGATGCAAAGAAKACAGAGATCCCGATACCTTCCCAATGTCAACGAAAAATAATAGTGCCCTGGCCCCCGATGCCCAAATGATCTCCTTCCCAACGCGTCGGTCATGGTCATGCTACTCGTGGGATTGTCTCATGCAATTGCTTATTGTTTATTGCTTATTGCTTATTGCTTATTTATTTATTTATTTGGTTATTTACTGTCTCTTATACACATCTAGATGTGTATAAGAGACAGGCTTATTGCTTACTTATTGCTTATTGCTTATATATTGATTTATTTGGTTATTTATTCATTTATTCGTCCCGTCGCGCAGACTGCATGCCCACCTCCCTGAATTTGCGGTCATTCCCGAAATCCACGATACCTGACAGTGGCAGGCTCCCATGCATTTCACGATACGTATACGTAATGAGTATACGTAATGACTATATTCCTCTCCCGTAACGTAGCATTCCCAACACTGTTACAAAGCAGTTCCGTGAATCGTTTATGGTATCATTCCCATTCCGTTACGTAGAATTCCGGAAGCACATCGCACGCCTACGCATATCGCAAGTCGACCACTCTGCCGATCCCGTCCTTTATTTATCGTTTATCGTTTATTTATTTATTCAGGCTACGTATTCTTCAGTGTTGTCGCTGAATGTTCGCTGCGTCACGCAGACTGCATACCCACCTCCCTCGACTTCCGGTGATTCCCGAAATCTGTGATTTTGCAAGTCTCAAGTTTTCAGATTAGAGCCTATAATAGGTTCGCGGAAATTCATAAACTACTTTTGGGCTTTTTCTATTTTTTTGGGCGCTTTCGGTTTTTTAATTGTAGGTATATGTAGTTACCTAAAAAAGAATTTTTTTCTCTTTTCTGCAGAAAACACTCTTTTTATCCCACAAGGGGCTGTAATTCCCTGACAATGTCAGGCTCCCATGCATTTCACAATGCGTATACGTAATCACTATATGTCGGGGAGATCCAGCGGCCTAGCTCAGTTGGTAAGGCATGCAAGTGGCATTCAGGAGGTCTATGGTTCAATCCCCATTGGCGTCATCTACCTTCCTGGGCAAGCTTGGCGCCCGCCACCTAGAGATATGCCCTTGGTCCCCCCGAGTGGCATTGAGCAGAGACTGCTGATGTTCATAGGGGGAGGGGACCGCAGGGGAGGCACAGTGACTGGCCCATCGAAGAAGGTCCGTCCCGATGCTACCGCCTGACCCCTGGCCGGTATCATCCACCTGCTGTAGCAGGTATCGCACCTGCTAGTGGGTGCAGCTCCGGCATGTTCCCTCGTTGGAGGCTTGAGCACGGATGTGGCTGCTACGGGGTTCCCCGTAATACTATAATGACAAACCTGCTAGTGGGTGCAGCTCCCGCATGTTCCCTCGTTGAAGGCTTGAGCACGGATGTGGCTGCTACGGGGTTCCCCGTAATACTATAATGACAATAAAAAAGGCCTGAAAGGCCGTCCTGTCCAGATTCGACGGGTAATTGAATTGGTTGGGCTTAAAAGAATTAGCCTTTAGAAAAAAGAAAAAAACTATATGCCGGGGCGGCGGAGAGAGAGAGAGAGAGAGAGAGAGAGAGAGAGGATCCCATGAAAAAACTATATGCCGGGCTGTGTCCGTTCACTCGTACTTTTTTTTTTTTTCCTGGAAAAAATGAAAAAGAAAAAAAGAAAAAA